TCAAAGAAAAGTGTCCACAATCGAGGATCAGTCGTGGTCAGCCTCCCGTCGGAGGCATTACAAGCGGAAATGGTCCGAAACAGCCTCGTTATCATCGCCATGCTCTTCGCCGCGCAGGTGCGGTCCCCACGAGCTCAGCAAAAGCAGTGTTATAACTGTAGCCAGTGGGGACACACGCAGGCGTCGTGTGGAAAGGCAGCCATGTGCGGTGAGTGCGCTGGTGCTCACTAATCTCGGGACAGTCTGAGGAAAAGAGTTCCTTGTGCCAACTGCGGCAAGGAACGACGTTTGTGGCATAAAGCAGCGTGTCTGAAGTATCAGGTCCACAAGTGAAGTGTGAAGAAGGCTCGGATGGAGCTTCTATCGGGGACGGTAGATATTTGGAATGAGAAACCTATAACAGCGCCAATGCGAATACTCGGGACGACTCGTGATCAAGGATTCACTTTGGTCATCAGTAGGAAGGCAGAAATACTCAGAAGAGGACCGGGACGACCGCGAAAAGTTGTCGAGGCCCCAGCGGCACGAATCATCCCCGCAACAGTAGCACCACCATCGGGGACAACTCTCCGATCACTTAGACGAAAAATGCCGAATGAGGAGGTAACTTCTTTGAAGTTCTCATAGCAATAGTCTGATTGGAGGGGGAATTAACGAAATTTATGGAAAGTTTGTAAAATTGTGGTTGAAAGGAACGTCTTCAGCATTAAGCCGGGTCGATTCAGAGTGGTAGGATAGTGGGTTTTGTTTGTAAAAAGCCTTTTCCTACAGGCAATGCGGCTTACCGTCTACATAGTTCTGTATATAGATACCGAATAGGACGTTAAACGAGAATAATGAATGAATATACTGCATAAGCTTAAATTACTTTACATTTACTTGTAAAAATTAAATTTCCCCATTCTAGGGTCCCCTCCTTTGGTTGTCCTGCATAAAGTTGAACTGTCTCTTATTTTTGGTAAATGTATGCAATTCCTTGATTTAGTAAATTTTAGCAGTTTTTCCTATCCACCCTGAGTACCAAATGACAAACCGAGGCTTCGGAGCACAGTATCAGAGGGCTCCTTCTTTCTTTGAGCTTTAAAATTGGCAGACTGAAAAGGCACATTCTCCATACCGCCAAAATCCCACTGAAGGGACGTCTCACGCTGAAAAATATAGATTATTTTGCAGCATCACTCGCATGCAGCGACCGTGACAAGAATTGTTTCTTGGCCGCGAAACCGTTTATACCTCAACACCCATGAGTCATGCATGCTGGCCACTCATTAAGCCGTCTCCCCATCCAGAAATGTTACTTCGGACATACGCTCATGGTTGGGGAAGGATAGTGAAGTCTGTGACGAAGAGTAGCATGCTCAGATTGACCATGTCAAATTTAGTTGGCGGCTCTGTCTGCGGGGAAGGGGGAAGATTGTGGACGAGTCGAGAGAATTATTATCCGCAATAAATATCACGTGCCATCAAGCTGATACCACGTGATGAGAGTATCTATCCCATCTCTGTATGGATTTCGGGTCGCGTGAGAGCCCTACATCCAAGAGGCATGATTCGGGTGTGTGAACCCTGAAGACTCGCAGCTAGCTATCCGCACAGCTTTACAGGCCGAGTGAGTACTGGAACGAATAGTTCGAGAAAATTGTCCAGGCAAGAAACGCACGGCGCCTTCTCCACGCCTAGATCAAACTGCTAAAAGACCCAAGACTCTCGAGATCGAGTAACCCTCTCGATGTGAAAATTGGCCTCCGCAACATCTCGTTACGAGAGTCCTTGGTCTCTGTCTTGGCAAAGACTAGATTCGTTTAGTTTAGGGCGAAATTTATGCAAACATGTTTTCAGCGCTGCTTTACAGTCTCGGTCGGAGGGCAAGACTGAACACCTGTACGCGTTGTCCCCTTCGAAGCTAGGAGTGAAATGTTCTCTCAGAACCAAGTTCAGTCAGATTTCGCAATATCAAAGAAGTTGGCCCACAAGGCGATGATTCAAAATACTCCGCCGTGTCCATCTTTCACTCCCAACGAGTTCGACTCCTACCTAAGTCTCATCGAGTCTACAAGTATGACCTAGTATATCCTCATCCCTATGACCACACCTCTCGTCGACTTTCTCTGGCCTCAGCCGGTCACCAAATACACGCCCACGCCGATATTTACACCCGCAGGAGGAAGCAAAGCGTGGCGCACAAATCTGGGAGACAGTTCTTTGGGATGGACGTGAGAGGGATCAGGACAAGTTCACAAAACGGTGCCGAGGATGGATACAGCCTCGACGGGCGTGAAATTTCGATGTTTGGCAAGAAGCTTTACAAATTGAGCTTTGTGCGCGCCAAGATTTCGCTTGCGATAGTGCAGCTGACACTATAAAAACAAGCCAACGATGGAAGGTGTTGTGATCCGCCTCCTGGTGATGTTATCTGGTATAGTCCGAGTAGCTTGGACACCTACTTCACTTGGGAAGGAGACATCTAAGATCACAGTTCGCGCGGAGAAATTTGGACGGATGATGGAGGCATGTCTGGATAACCCAGGGTTTCTGAGACGTCTACTTGGGTGGGTATTCACGGATGAGGGTTAACTTGGGGTGAAGAAGAAGCCACCATAATTTCGCAGAGGTACTTGCAAATGAAATCTGAGGCATGAGTGCTCTTCCCTTACGTTGAATCATCTATTATGTATTTTCCTTTATTATTGTGTCATAGCTAGATAGCTGCATATGCAATTAAAATCTGATGCAAAAAAAAACCTTGCACCGGTAGGCCTGAGGTATGACTTATGCCTTAGGCACCAAGCGGATACAGATAGTATTGACGCTTCGGCGGCGTCCACAAAAAGTTACACCTACATTCTGGTCAGCCACCACTCTGCAGTAGCAAAGCTATTCTCATTACCTATGATATCGCATAAATTACCCTATCATACCAAAATGGACTCAGTAGGAACAATAGATAAATTCTAATACAATATATTTTGGGTTTAGATGCCTCGCTTTTGCTATCGAGTCTTGTGCGCGTGGAGTGACGGTTGAAATCAGTAGTATGGTGATTAAGCTATCCAGAACTTACTCTGGAAATCTGCCCTGCTGTAATACGCACCAATCGATCATTTACAATTTAATAAATTGTATTGAGAATAGAATGGCTCGGAATTTGTACTGTATTAAGATTCTAAAAGGTAGTGATCATGTACCCAAGTTCTTTCTAGCCACAGCTTGCGATGCGATTCCCCTTCGCGCTAGGGTTGATGACAGGCTCTTCAACACATTCTTATCTCTGCAGATGTGAATTTCCGAGGCCCAGGATGATCATGGAAATTGCATAGATGTATCAAGTCTTGGTGCTCTTTGTTGAAAAGAAAATAAACAAGCACACTTTCATGCCTTACAGTTAAGCTCTCTGGGGTTCGAAGCAACTTTGACCAGGCCTGGGGTAGTATTTTCAGATGAGACACTACTTAATCAGACTTGGTACACGATTAGAGAGATTTAGGCTTTCTGGACAACAAATTTTCTGAGCTGAACGTTCCGAGAGATACCAGAGCGTTAGATGGCGAAGTTGGGAGTCAACAGGTCCTCTTCCGAGGCGCAATATTCGTTGATGTAACGTTTTGGCATGACACATCCAGAAATTCTACGAGTAGCGTTTCCTCTAGCAGCGTATGATATGGAAAGGGTGTCTGGGTCTAGGGCTTCAGCCTGGTACGTAAAATCATCCAAATTAAATCCAACAAATCAGGCTTAGTGCTAGAAGACATTGCCATCTCTGCAATACCAACAGATCTATGATGCGGATTATTCTTAATTTCTCATGATGTATGGTTGAAGGAAAGGAGTGCAAGGATGACAAGGAGCAAGTCTGGACTGCAAAAGGCTGATGCACCCTAAGACACAAGTCCCGGACGATGAATCGATTATTAGACTAGGCAATCAAGCCAAGACTTCGAGCTATCGCTACAAGGGCAATAGTGGTAGGTCCGTGGCCGCCAGGTGACTCAATGGTAATTCAGCAAGCGTCGTCCCCACGTATGGGCAGGATGGGTACGAGGCCCTCATGCTCACTAGCCATAGATCAGATGGATGATGTGGGTGTGTCAACAGACTGTGGTCGTTAGTTTGTGAAGCTTTTTTTTTCAACGTCGACGGAAATCAGATATTGAATTCTTGATTCGTGTGAAAGATTCAGTAGCTAGACACTGAGATTTTCAATTCTTCGATTTGTATTATTCGTCGAGGGTAACGCTGAGTGATGGGTACGTCAGTCCTCACAATAGGGAGATATTGACGCCATAGCGAACAACACCCTGACCTACTCGTGTGTCTGTTATATTGAGCGCCACAAGCAACGCCGTCAGCACAAATCAAGCCATGTAGATTGGCGCTTCGACCGACTCGACACGTAAACTGAAGGGCAGGGCAGGGGACGTCTCACTTGGTAACCTCTCTAACCTTAGCTTCCTGAAGTTTTTAGGTTTGAAGGGTACACCTTGCATGGCTGAGCTATCCGAGAGTGTAGTTGGTGTCTCGGAGATTTACAGGGGGATTGACGCTGACCTGAGTCGAGCTAAGACGTCCCCTCTCAGCCCGCCTCTGAAATAGGCAAGAAAAATTGAGTCTATCCATATGGCGATCGGCCGGCAACTGCTTCAACAGCCATCCAGTCTTTTCAGATCCTTCGCGTCAATCATGCGGATGGATATCCGGGATTCATGCGCTCCGATTTATTGATATTCGTCCCACGTCAGTGGCCAAAATAATCCAATTTCATCCCTACCCCTTGAGAAGAAGATGAGCAATGTTAATCAGATCAGCAGCATGCTGTACTGGGGATTGACAGAGAGTATAACGTCTCGACAACCTCCCGTTACATTCCTCTCATCTGCAAGCTTGCTTTTCCACTCGTCGGTCACGTGTCGCAAGAGGTATCGATTCATTCGGGAACAGAACCTTCTCTAGTCCCTAGTATTGACGATTAACGGAGAATATCAAAAGACTCATCTACGTACTTCATGCCAACCTCATACATCTTAGAGGGCTCAGCGGAGCAGGCGCCTGCTTCATTTACTCTCTTTCCGTTTTTGCCAGTGGAACTTCGTCTCAAGATTTACACGTATTCTATACCTGATTCCAGGCTTGTACCTCTCATTTTGAAGACCAGTCACTCATTCAAAGATAACACGCACGCTCCAAATGTTACTGTCTCCAGCACAGTTATTCCTCCGCTCTTACATGTTTGCCATGAAGCACGACAAATAGCGAGAGAGCACTATAGTCTCTCTTTTCACCACGCCGGTTCGCAAGCTCGCTGTCCTACGACTGTCTGGTGGCGCAATGATGGATCTGATATCGCTCTCCTGGGTCCCAATTCGATTCCTAGTGGCCATGACCACGAAGATCCGTCTGATCACTTTAAAAAAGTATTGGCACTCCTCCATCACTGCAGCCAACACGAGCCCTACAACATCTTTCGTATAGCTATACCCCAAAAAATGTTTCATTACACTAACCCCAGATCTATCATCAGTGTCAGTGGCCTGCCGGATCTTAGTCTTCGCGAGTTCTGGGTCAACATCATCACTAAACTCCCAAGTATAAATGAGGTTCTATTCGTTCAGGAAAGCATTGAGGTGCTACCTCCAAACCCGTATCATTTGCTCACAGTCTCGGCCGTTGCACACCCGTCAAACAATGAGAGCTCCAGACCAACCCTCTTTAAGAGACATGTCGCAAAGGCCCTTTCAGTAGTGCTCAAAGCATATCCCTTGGCACGTCCCCCCTCATGGAACGTCGTTGGAAGTGAAATCCAAGCGTTTGAGGCACCAAATCGCACGAACAAAATCGTCGGATACTATGGTGGCCAGTGCAGGGTAGCAAAGATGACTTTCGCTTCTGGAAAGGACATCATGTGGTGGGGGCTTTACAACAGCTAGGCCCCACGCTTAATGACAGGGAGACGTCAGTAGACAATTACCCGATTATGCTTACAGACTACATGACAACCCCGACTTCCGAGACGTCTACGATTTCCAACTCTCGTTTTTGCATAATGACCTCTTAGTAATGGTCTCTATATCGACTGGGAATCTCGGCTCGAGGCCCTGATTCGAGGTAGAAGACTTATAACGCAGTCTAAATTAAAGAAAAATAACGGTTACTTTTTGCTACTACAATAATTTACGAATATGGATACCGCTCTGTCATAGAAAGAAGCCTATGCTAGTCAACATTTATACTCAACTGCAACATGAGAATTGGTTGACAAGTTATTGAATGTAAAAATTGCTGGTGCCACCAGCGCTAAAACCTGACTATCGCCTATCATTAGGTTGGAAAAAACTAACGGGTGGAAGATTTCAAACATGTGGCTTTTCAGTAACATTGAGAAATTATACATGCGACAAAGACGATATTCATTTACCCAGGGTGAATTCTAGTGCGAGAGAAGCTTGGAGATAATTCTCTTTGGATTCCATACCACAACTCAACAATTGATACAAGAATCACCATCATGGCATTCAGATAACGACATTAAAGGAATCAACTATATGACAGCTACCCGAGCCACACTCGAGCGAAGCCTAGACGATATGTCTGTATTCATGGTGTACCATCTCCCATAAGATTAAACTTGATTATCTACTCATAGATCTTGAAAAGGCATTGTATCATCAGACATAGGAGTTAGCTAAGGGGTGTGTCATAGCTCAGAAGAGATGCTTAAGCACTACTGGTAATGGTAATGGCAATGTAAGCGTAACTGATAGTTCCAGTAACAAAGCAGAGTAGAGCACTTTCGAGGCGAAGATCCTTTACATCAGCCATCTTGTGCGAACGAAATAGATATTAATTTGAACTCATAACATTAATGCTATTGTGGGCCTCGTCTGATGAGGCGTTCCACTCGATAGAGTGACTGAAAGTGCTAATTTCACGCCGTATATCTGAACAATGATGCGAAGAAAGGAGAAACTATGTGATGCTAACAATTTGTTTTTGGACATATACGTCAAGCCTAGCCCAAATCCGAGGTTTCCCTCGATTTGATGGCAGATTTTATCATAGATAGAGAGTAGAGACTATCTAGATCTTCAAAGACTGTAAATTTGGGGATTCGAAGAGTGCCTTCTTGGCGCTGACATATCTCGTTTCACATGTTCATGTAGGCGCAAGGCTGTTTAGTAGCGGCAAAGGCTCAACACAGTGAATCCCTCATTCTGCCACTTTTTTATTTATTTATTTCTTAAGTGTAAGAGAGAACTGAGACTTGGATTTGATAGACTGATGTGACTGATGTCACACTTTATCGGGCTGTTTTCTATGTGTATAAAAGGGTGTTATCATGTCCATGTGGGCCGAATTGCCACTTTGTTTAGAGTTTAACGTGCAGTGGGACGCCAAGCCAAGACTTGGGCCCCGGCTACCTACTTAATACAAGACATAGGTACCAGTGCTTGCCGCCCTCGCTACTTCCTGACAAGGAAGGCCTCGCCTTTAGTATAAAAATAAAGCAAGGCCTGATGTCGCATCCGCACTACACACAAATAACATTACATCATACAATGTTTCTCTCAGGATCCTAGGTCCCAGCCTCTGATCCTTTCTTGTAGATAGACTGCCACATTTAGCGGGAGTGCGACGATAACTATTGCTCAATTTTATTCACCCTAAACTCCGCGAGCAGATTGTTGAGTTGGGCTTTGTCTGATCAAGCCATTCGACAGTACTGATAGCCCCCTCCCAGGAGCCTAAAAAGAATTCTTCAGATTACTTGGAGAACCAGGAACTGGGGGAGACACCAAGCGGCCACAGCAGACTCCCGGAAATTTTTAGACGCCTTGGGCCGGCCGTAGCTGCAAGATACATGCTCATCCGCGCGGTTGAAGCGGCAGCGGCACAGTATGAAGTCACCGGATCCCGAACGAGAAATGTAAAGCCTTGAAAGAAGATTCCGCTCCAGAGATGGCTACTCGTGTTGCAGGTGTACGAACTTATGCCGATTCGTCGATGCGAGGCTGGAGCGTACCCATTCTGGTATTTTTCCATTGCAAGGGCTAACTCATACTTAATAAGATTCTTAGCGGCTTCGCATGATGGGGCTGCCCAAATGGCCAGTTTCACTAGAAGTTGTCGCCATCCTTCCACTCCAACATATGTAACCATGTAACGTATAACTGGTCCTCAGCAAGTCCGAGGATGATTGGTTGGGATTTGTTGTGCTACTTGAGTCACAGGCTACCCAGCACATAGGGCTCCTCTCTGGCCCAGGCCACACCTTGTACACCGCTCCTTGCATCTTTTGTTACTTGAAATATTATTGATATAATGCCCGTGATAATTAGCCATTTAGCTCAGTATTTACCCATCGAATTTGGTGACCTTTCCAACGGAAACTTACACCCAAGAAAAAGGTAGCAATTGAAACTGCGTGAGCGAGAAGATGTCTCAAAAAACCTGCAGTCCCAGCCAGGCGAGGCCTAGATACCGAGACCATATGAGGTGCGCATATTCATCTATATTTCGCTTCTTCGTAACATTCGAGGCCGACTTGATCCAATCAACAATCTCCGTATCGGGTGCTGGGTACGCTCCAGAAACTCATCGGGTGGCTTTTCCTTCATAATCAAGGGTGGGTGATGAGAAGGGATTCAATCCTACCATCTGATCTGATCGTGGTTAGCTTCATGATAATGGTGATAGGGGAATGTGTTGAGAGACGAAGACGATAAAGACGGCGAAAGCGATTGGGAATCCCCATCGAATTGGGGACTTTGTAACTCAATCTTGGCTCTGCAGGCTCTACAGTGAGAGCTGGAGGTTCGTAGGGGACACCACTGATAAGTATTGAGTCTCATCCTAATTTTGTTTGAGCGCTCATACAGTGAAGGGAGATCTTGCTTTGTACGGCAATCAGCTAAGCCTTTAGAGAAACTGTTTGTAGTATGAAGATGGATTTTTCTATAGAACTGCCATTGTTAGTCGTAGAAATGATTACTGTCTAAATGAAGGTGGATATTCCATCCTATATCATAGGATGTTCTACTTTCTTCTCCATCTCATCCACATACAACTATCCGTGATGTCATAACACTAACCACATCTTGTATGGGTCTGTTTATCATCAACCACAGCTTACATGAGTGGCTAAGAGGATTTACATCATGACAGTCCCTCTCTTGTGTGTAGTAGATGGGTTGGAACAAGTAATGTGGTTGCACTTCAGACTATTTATAGATACATGAGGGGCTATATGGCGTGGGCATGAGGGGTTTATTGGAGGTTTTCTATGCCCAGATGGTGCCATAACCCTTTATGTTGTTGCTTGAACTCTGTATCAAAAATACTTGTACTTTTAACGCACAGCTTTCACTCCTTTAGCCAACTTCTTCTGTTTCAAGAATATTGCGCCCATTTCATTGCGCGATATTACTTATCTCTTTCCACACGAAGCCTGCGTGTGTCCCCAATAACTGCAGTTGAAGCAGAGCTTTAGCTAGGTCTGTGGCGATCACGCTTGCACGGTGGATTGCATGGCATTAATGACGAGACCGTTTAGTACAACCCCTGTTTATAATGCCTCCGATGGGAAGCTGAACACGGTTGATCCTCTATTGCGGCCATTTTATTTGACCGCAACAACTCTTTTCCGTCGTATAACCAGTGTGTTCTATCGATCACAAGGCCGAGAACCTGAGCCCTAGTCGCTGTATTAATCTTCTCGATTTTTTTGAATGGATCAAGTGTATTCAGCCGTCTCGCCATGACACATGATCGGTACTCTGCGTACATGTTGAATTCCTCTTATGATGTTAAAAACACTTGTACCCTGGATCTAATTCGCAAATATCACTATCAGGTGTTTTTGTTTACACAAAAAGTCGAGCCTCCTCAGTGGCTACCTACAAAGGGAAGTTTCAATATCTTTGCTTATCCAAGCAAGCCAGCACGGCGAGAAATATGTTCGAGCCTTGCTACATTCCAGTGAGCGATCTCTTGTCATCAGTAGGCTAGGTGTCCAAGCTATCCAGACTCTACGTAGAAGATCAGCCTGAACAATGTACCACCGCACCATCCAACCACGGCGATGTTTATAGTGTTGTCAACACTCTCGCGATCGAATTATTAGCGAGCACCATTCTAAATTTGTAAAATTCTGTTAAAATTCAGAATTTGTCCCTTCTAAGAGTGTACCAAATCTTGGCATCATCTTTTCTACTTGTTCAGATCTCTCTCACGCCTACACCAAAAATCCGACACCCAGATTTGTGCACACCATTTGGCGTCTCTGGAGGGTTTTCATATTCTTGTGGGCGTGTACGTGGAGGCTATTTGAGGCTAGAGACTGATTGACTAGTGGTGTGGTCACTGACATGAGGATGAATCGGGTCGTACTTGCAGACCTGATGAGGCTTTAGCCGGAATCGGCCTTGTTGGAAGTGAGATATCCATTTGGTTCGGAGTAGTGAGTCATTGCCCTACGGGCCAACTTCTTTGATATTGCGAAATTTGACTGAACTTGGCTCTGGGTGAATATTTTCGTCCCAGGTTCGGAGAGGACACCGCGTACATGTGTACGGTTTTTGTACTCCGATCATTTGAAAGTCGATTGGTTGTGACAAGCTATGGGCCGCGTCTCCATAGAATGCCAACCGAACGAACGTCTGGTGTCGCTCTCTCGCATCTGGCAAATCGGGTGTATACCTATTCATGAATTATTTTCGATTTGATCTCATTCAACCCGATTTGGCGCCCTATGGGCCCATACACCTGTATGATAACCGTAGTATTCACATGGGGGTGAAAACTTTCTGTGTATGTCCTTTGGTTCTTATATTTGTGGTCCAGGGACCCCAGTTACACTACAGTGCCATATAAGTTAGCCAATCACATTCTCTCCTCCGACCCTAATAGTCGCTCGCATCGATCCTTTCGC